CTTATAAGATGCTGCTGCCAGGATATTCCAGAGAATGCTTTAAAATGACGTTGGAGAAGTGTTTCTGAGATGCCTAAAAACGTGACCTTTCCATTGCGTAAGAGATGCCTTTAAGATATCGCACCCAAAGTTCTTGAAGATGACCTTAAGATACCACTCACTACCAAGGTGTTCCACAAAATAATTTTTAAAATGGGGCTTCAGAGAGTTTTATAGATGCACAAAGATGATATTTTGCGCTTATTCGAGAGACGTGTGTAATGTTTTAATACAGAGTTCTCTGGGACTGGTTCCAAGAGGTCCTAAGATGGTGTCCCCTCAAGGTGTTACAACAATCTTTTTTAAGAAAGCTCTTCTGACAAGTTGTACATGGATGGGAACAAGTTTTGTGGAGGGGATCGGAAGGGAGGGGGAGGGGGAGGCATCTCCATTATGCTTGGAGGACAAATTCTTATTTAATGATGTGCTTGTTTGTATTATATTGTAGGACTTTTTTGTACATTATATTGTAAGGTGACCTTGTGTACTTACCTAGTTGTGCTTGCGGGGGTTGAGTTTTGGCTCTATGGTCCCGCCTCTCAACTGTCAGTCAACTGGTGTGCAGGTTCCTGAGCCTACTGGGCTCTATCAAATCTACATTGGAAACGGGGTATGGAGTCTGCCTCCACCACATCACTGCACAATGCATTCCATTTGTTAACTACCCTGACACTGAAACAATTTGCTATAATGTTTATGTGGCTCATTTGGGTACTAAGTTTCCACCCGTGTGTGTGTGTGTGTGTGTGTGTGTGTGTGTGTGTGTGTGTGTGTGTGTGTGTGTGTGTGTGTGTGTGTGTGTGTGTGTGTGTGTGTGTGTATGTGTGTGTGTGTGTGTTTACTATTTATATTTACTATTTGTGTCTGCAGAATCGAGCTATAAGCTCATGGACCCCGCCTTTCTATTTTTCCTCTATCTATTTTCCTCTACATATATTTATCTCTAACACAGGGACACACATTCCCTGGAAGCAGCCCGTAGTAGTTGTCTAACTCCCAGGTACATATTTACTACCAGGTTAACAGGTGCATCAGGGTGAAGGAAACTGCCCATTTGCCCGTGAAAGAAACCTGGGCCATTAGGACTACGACCCCCAAGTGCTATTCATTCAGCCGCGAGACCCCTATTGGGGTGTGTGTGTGGGTGTACTCACCTAGTGTGTGTCTATCTGTCTGTCTGTCTGTCTGTCTGTCTGTCTGTCTGTCTGTCTGTCTGTCTGTCTGTCTGTCTGTCTGTCTGTCTGTCTGTCTGTCTCTCTGTCTGTCTGTCTGTCTCTGTCTGTTTCTGTCTGTCTGTCTGTCTGTCTGTCTGTCTCTGTCTCTCTGTCTCTCTGTCTGTTTCTGTCTGTCTGTCTCTCTCTCTCTCTCTCTCTCTCTCTCTCTCTCTCTCTCTCTCTCTCTCTCTCTCTCTCTCTCTCTCTCTCTCTCTCTCTCTCTCTCTCTCTCTCTCTCTCTCTCCCTCCCTCCCTCTATCTACCTCTCTCTCCCTCCCTCTCTCCCGCGTCTCCCTCCCTCCCTCCGTCAGTGTCCCACCTGTCACAGGTTTACAGTTCTCTGGGGGCCACAACGCCAGCTTTATAGCGCAGGCCAAGCATACGGTAGCGTGGAGGCGCCCTGAGGCACCGTGCGCCACTACTCACAATGAGAGCCAAGACTCACCACACACACACCACTTAACGTACAGCTCTGTTTACAACTCCACACTACATCTACACAACTCTGCGCTTTAAAACTCTGCATTATAAATCAATTAGCATCCGTTTTTTAATTCTTGTCGCACACGACATAACATCCAAACCATCAACTAAACGGCTTAACCTAACCTAATCTAACCTAACCTAACCTAGCCTAGCCTAACCTAACCTAATCTAACCTAACCTAGCCTAACCTAACCTAGCCTAGCCTAACCTAACCTAACCTCGCCTAACCTAGCCTAGCCTAGCCTAACCTAACCTTACCTAACCTAACCTAACCTAATCTAGCCTAACCTAACCTAACCTAACCTAACCTAGGACTAAATAAGTATTACTATGCCTAATATACGCCTCTTATGTACTGGGGGGGTTGAACTCCTCCTCGGCAAGGTATTCGAACAGGTCTCGTGGTTGACGGGTAAATTGTTAGTGCCCGCAGCCTGTGTAGGACGTATGCATCACAGTTTGGCTGATCAGTTAGAGTTTGAAGGCGAGCGTTAAGTTTCCTCTTGAAGACACTTCAGGGTCTGTTGGTCGCTCCTCTAAAGCGACCAACTGTCCTCTAAAGTGAGGACAGTGAAGACTTTTTTTTTTAGTTATTTTTTACTGTAACTACTTTTCACAAACCCGTTCTCGCACTTGCTTCTAGTCAATATTGGCTTATTTAATAAGTGCATATGTGACATACTAATTGATTGTGAATATTTTAGTTTACCTTGAAAAGCGTCATAGAAAACACCGACCTCACCTAACCTTCTTAGTATGTTAAGATAAACATCTTATTGCTTCTTATTTACAATTATTACTTAACCTATCAACGGTATAGGTTAAGTAATAATTGTAATTAAGAAGCAATAAGATGCTTATCTTAACATACCAAGAAGGTTAGGCGAGGTCGGTGTTTTCTATGACGCTTTTCAAGATAAACTAAAATATTCACAATCAATTAGTATGTCACATATTCACTTATTAAATAAGCCAATATTTCTATAAGCAAGTGCGAGAACGGGTTGTTTTCGCTCAGTCTGTATTTCACATATTATCGTGTCATATGCTGCTTTGATTTTCGCTCATTGGGTTTAGTTATTCCTTTTGTACAACTTTTGTACACCTTTTGTACACCTTTTGACACCAAAGTAACATTTTAGAAGGGGGGTTTAGCTTGGCCCGTTTCCTACGTGGGCATGTTGCTTGTCCTGCCGCGCAGCCTGGCGGCGCCCCGGCACCTGCGGTCGGCACCACACGTTTACATATCATATTTTAACGTTCATTTATACGTGTGATTGTAAAATATTTCACAGCAAGTGAAAACATATTCCTGGATATTGAGCTTTAATGTTGTCTGTAGTGAATGCAGAAGTGGGGGGGGGGTCGCGGGCACCTGTAGTGAAGGCAGAGGGGAAGGGGAGGACACCTGTAGTGAAGGCAGAGGGGAAGGGGAGGACACCTGTAGTGAAGGCAGAGGGGAAGGGGAGGACACCTGTAGTGAAGGCAGAGGGTGGGGGGGGGGGGGGGGCACTTGTAGTGAAGGCAGAGGAGAAGGGGAGGACACCTGTAGTGAAGGCAGAGGGGAAGGGGAGGACACCTGTAGTGAAGGCAGAGGGGAAGGGGAGGACACCTGTAGTGAAGGCAGAGGGGAAGGGGAGGACACCTGTAGTGAAGGCAGAGGGGAAGGGGAGGACACCTGTAGTGAAGGCAGAGGGTGGGGGGGGGGG